GTTGCTCGGGAATGGGAGATTACGAACAAGCGTGATTTCTTCTACGACAGCACATGCATGTCTTGTGAACGTGGGGTCTGGGAGCAGGCCTTCACTGCAGAGCATGCTCGTATTACGAACACTTGTGCAGGGACGGGCCTCCTCGACTTGTCCAAGGCGTACGAGAGAGTGTTGCATGGACATTTGATCGATGCGGCCCAGATGACGAAGTTCCCGTTATATATACTTCGATTGTTGCTGTGTGTGCACCGTTGCCCTCGTCTCCTCGTGGTAGGCCAGGTAGCACCAGCACCAGTAATGACGGAGCAAACGTTTGTTGCAGGTTGTACGTTCGCCACGGCGCTTCTGAAGGTATTGTTGATTCGCATGCTGGACTGCGTGATGGCTGAATTTCCTTTCGCGCGCGTGTACAACGTGGTTGATGATATCACGGTACGTGTTCGTGGTAGCAAGAAGTTTGTGCGCGACATGCTGCCAGTCGTCGTCGGTTTCACCTGCAGGAAGCTGGAGGAGTTGGACCTAGTATTGGCCAGGGCCAAGGGCCAAATCGTGTCGACCCACCCTGATGTTGTCCAGAGTTCCGAGAGAGCCCTGGCCAGGTGGGGGTTCACTGGAGCCTCGGTGGTGAGGAATCTTGGAGTGGATTTCACCATGGGAAAGGCCCGAAGGAACCCCGTGCAGAAGGCCCGAGTGGCCAAGCTCAAGCGAAGGGCCCACCGTTTCCGAGGGTTGCGATCGCCCTTCAAGGTGTTGACAAGAATCGTGCGCGCAGGTGCCAACCCAGCAGGACTCTACGGGGCCACGGCCACAGGAGTGTCGGACAGATCCCTCCAGCAGCTGCGCTCGGTGGCGGGCGAGGCGGTGTTCGGGCAGGCCGAGGGCAGGAGTCGCACAATTGGCTTCATGCTGCCGCCGACTCCGCAGGCCGACCCAGCGTACGTTGCGAATTCCGCCCCCCCTGATGTCTTGGGCTAACGCTGTACATCTGGGCTGGGCTCCGCATGATGAGATGACGGCCGTGTTCGAAGGTATTTGCCAAACGGTACGTGGTTGGCAGCAAGTCTCAGGCCCTGCGGGGGCCATGCTGATGACCTTGAGACGTCTTGGGTGGCAACCTAGGAGTTGGGACTGCTGGGGAACGGACACTGGGCTCTGTCTGGACCTGCGGGCGTACGGGAATCGGACGGTAAAAACGATCGTGTATGCTGGCACGAAGGACATGCTCCTTCGCGGCCTGACCATTAGTGATGAGGCTTTAGGAAGTGACGCTCCCCTCCGCCCTTGCTTAGAGCCGTTGCATGAGGTGTGCCGAGATTTCCGCGCCTCAGGCAAGGGCCTGGAAGCCTCTCTCCTCGCCGCTGTGGCGTCGGGGGGCATGGCTGTTCAGGTTGACCTTTTCCTGGGCAGGCGCTCGGCCTCCGCCGAGTGTCAGGTTTGTGGGCACCCGTGGGGATGTAAGAAGCATCGGTGCTATGTCTGCCCTGCTTTCCATGGGCACCGTCAGACCCTAGGGTTTCAGCGTCTCGTTCGCGCGGGGTCCACTGCCACGGAACCGAGATGGCGCTTGTTTTACACTAGAGGTCTGATGTCGTCACAAATCAGCTACACACCCAGGCCGATCGTGCAGCAGGAGTGGCAGTGACATGTTTTCCCTAGGCATGGATTTCTGGAAGGAATAATATTGCGCGGATGGATCAGCCATCGACCCAGACCTGCCGTGGTGCACACGAGCAGGCTGGGCGGCAGTTTCAGTAGATAGGCAGGGCACTATCCTGGGGAGTCTTTATGGCCCCTTCCCACACCCGCTACAGTCCAACCTCGGCGGAGAGTTGTGGGCGCTCTTGATGGCTCTGAAGCTAGCTGAGGCTGGCCCTTTAGAGATCTGGACAGATTGCAAGGTTTTGATGGACGTATGGGGCTTTGGCCCAGACCAGGATGTCTCGCTGTTTGCGTTTGCTGAGGTCTGGGTTGAGGTCTTGGCCAAAGCTCGAGATATTGGATGGAGCAACATCCAGTTGCGCAAGATCAAGTCTCACCTCTCGCACGGTGAAGCAGTTGCGAGGAACTTTCCTTTCTACGCCTGGCGGGACCATCGTGAAGCCGACCGCATAGCGCGAGAAGGGACCCAGCTCCAGGCTCAGCCTGAGCCCGCGAGGAGCTGGTACAGGACGGTCGCCCCTGGCATGTTGCAGGTTGGACGTTTTCTCGGGCTGATGTTGGGGGAGGTCTCGAGGCTTGGGCTCAAGGATGTGGAGAGATTTCGGGCTCCCAAGTCCAAGAGGCCCGCCAGGGACACCCCACAGCTCCAATGAGTTGCGGACCCCAACGGACACACGATCTGTAGAGAGGGGAAGAGTTTTGTTTGTGTGAAGTGCGGGACGAAGGCGAGGTCCAGAGGAGCCCTCGCCGCTTTCCCGTGCCGTGGCATCCCTGCCATCGCCGCGTCGGCACACCGCTCCCACGTTCTCTGGATGGGCTCGGGGCCGTCGGGGACTGTGGTGTGGTGTCGGAAATGCGCGGCGTTCGGGGTTGCTCGCAGTCGGTATCTGAAAGACCCGTGTCACGAGCGCCCGCGTAATTCGGCCGCTGAGAAGTCCTTGGCCATGCTGATTGCAGGCAAGGACCCCAGCTCCCGTGCGGTGTTCGGACGGAGTGTCCAGGTGCCCCAAGGGAGGTAAGGTCTTCTCTTGTTTATGTTTGCTAGGCCTCTTGCGACTGTGCGGGAGTCCTATGCAGCGTTCAACTCGTTCAAGGAGGAGGAGGAGGGGGAGGAGGAGTGCGGGGAGGAGTGCGGGGAGGAGGAAGAGGAGGAGGAGGAGGAGGAGGAGGAGGAGGAGGAGGAGGAGGAGGAGGAGGAGGAGGAGGAGGAGGAGGAGGAGGAGGAGGAGGAGGAGGAGGAGGAGGAGGAGCATGCGGAGCATGCCGAAAGCGTGCAACATGAATCACGAGCAAGCCTCGGAGATATGGGGCCCCGACGGCCGATCTGCAACCGAGCTTCCGTGAGAGGCTCACACGTGCAGCCGACCGAAGGGGAAAGCCCCTCCTGGGATCACCTACTGCGCACCTGGGGCATGCAAGCAGCGGCCCAACCAAGAGGTGGCACCAAGGCCCAGGAGGGCCAGGCCTCTTACTTCGGCGTGAGCTTTTCCACGAAGAGGCGGAGACCGTCCACGCCGTAGGCCTCGAACACGTGCGCAAACTGCGGGTCGACCCTGCCAGTCGCGACGAGCTGCGCGACGATGGCCGCGCGCTCGTCGCTCTCGCCAGGCGCCCCGCCCTGCACCCGCTCCGGAGGGCGCACCGCGGGAGGAGTAGCAGCAGCAGGCTCCGCTCCGCCAGCACCGCGAGCAGGCGCCGCGGCCGCAAGCCCAGGCGCGCTCGACGGTGCGGCGGGACGGCGCACGCCATCAACTCACTCATCGTCGACGACATCCTCCGTCACCTCCTCCATTTCGCCTTCGGCAGCCTCCGCCGAAGGCGCGGCTCCAGTTGCCCCGCGCGCTTTCTGGCCGCGAGGGCCTGTCGGCGGCGCCTGCGCCGCGCCAGCTTGGCCTCGGAAGGCACGCGAGCAGGTGCGGCGGCAGCATCTCCATGAACTCCCGCAGCGTCGGCAACGGGCGGCGGCGCGGGCTGCCCAGCCATGGCCTGCGCCACGGCCGCGCACGCTGCGCGCGCCACCGCCGCCAACGCGCGGCGAGGCATCTTGGCCTCCGAAGCGGTGCGGACCGCGGCGGCCACGAGCGCCGCGCCGTCCTGCGCCTCCAGAGCCCCTCTAGGCTTCGCCATCGCGAGCGGCGGGCGCCAGCGAGCCAAGCCGTGCGGTCGCTTGAGCCAACATGAGAGGGAGTAGGAGGAGTAGGAGGAGGAGGAGGAGGAGGAGGAGGAGGAGGAGGAGGAGCAGGAGGAGGAGCAGGAGGAGGGAAAGGCGACGACTCACAAGTCGGGACACGCGAGCGCCCCTTTCCTGGCGGAGGGGGAGGATGAGGAGGGAGGAAAGGAGGGGGAGAGAGAGAGGCTCTCGCTTCCAGTGGCTCCCTTTCCCTCCGCCTTTGTCGTGGGATCCTCCCGCCCTCCGCTCCCCTGCCCAGCCGCCCAAAGGCTGCGGGATTGCTGCCACGTTTCCCATTGAAGCGGCTCAAGGACGAACAAATCAATGGACACAAATCCCAGGATTCCATTATTTCCTATGTTTTCTTAATGTTTGGTCTTCCCCCCCACGTCCCTAATTTTCCCTGGGAGTCGTCGATTCTTTGTGTCTGTGCGCTTCTTTCCCTCCCGCCCCATACCACAACGCTTTCCGCGTCTTGTCGTCCTCATCGCCGCCCTCCTCCCGGAAGCGTCCGCAGCCGCGAGGTTGCCGGTGCGCGTGCGCCCCCAAGGCCCCGCGGCACCCGCTCCCGAAGGCCAGCCTCTGTGGCCCCGGGTGATCTTCTGGCCGAGCCTGAGCCCGAAACGCGCTTGCTCAAGCTGACATCGGGCACACGCTGACATGTGAATGCTTTCGTATTCGGCGTCTCGACATTGGGCGGAGGGGGAGGGGGCGCGACTGTTTGCAACGGTGCGTCCCATGGGGGAGGCTCCACCTGCCCGAGACGGGCGCCAAAAACAGCCAAGATCCACTCCATTGGGGAGGGGGGGTGAGGGTCCTCGCCCCGCGCCGATCGGCAAGACAATGAACAGGAAAGCGACGACCATGGATTGAGGATCCGCAGATCTGGCGCGCTGGCGCCAGGTCCATGGGTCGGAGAGGGCACACCCTGCATGTGAGGCCAACGCCGCCTCGTCTGGCGACGGGGCGCGCCAGTCCTGCATGGAGATGGGAGCCGTCGCTGCTCTTAAGTCGGGCGTGTCCCCCTGCAGGGGGATTTTCGACGGAACATAAAACATGCTAGAACAATGCTCCAAAATGGTCAAAAAAATACTATAAAAAGATAGTCCCCCGACTATTTGTAGCTCTTTTTTGAATAATTCCCCTGTAGAGGGACAGGCCCGAATTCACGCTACTCCGCGCCAAAACCAATGTTTGCGCCCCCTGGGTGAAAATGAACACTGCCGACGCCTCCGAAAAGCTCCAAGGGGCCTCCAGGTAACCTCCAAAGCCTCCCGAGAAGTCCGCTGAGGCCTCTAAGAGGCCCCCTCTCGCAGCCCTGTTCCCTGCCCCAGACCGAGATGCCCCGAAGAGCCCCCAGAGGCGGCCCACGCGAGCCCCAAGACGGCGGGAGGCGGCAAACAGCAAACAAAAACTCGGAATCTGCACGTATTCTGCCGGGGGTCGGGGGAAGGGAATAAGCCTCTTCCCGAAGGCTTCGTGACGCCAAAGGTCTCCCACCCTCGTACCTCCCGTTCGCCCCCCCCCCCCTCAAGTTCGGGGAGACGTAAGACTCGGGCACTTACGGGGGACTCCGGTTGGCCTCACGGGGCCATCATCACAAGGACGAGACCGAATCTGAAATTTGACGCGGGCTCCCGCTGCAAACATCTCACGAACACTGGACCGTCAAAATCCAGGACGCGCTCGTCAATAAACGCCAGCAAACGGCAAACCCGAGTCGGCTTACTCGAGTCGTACGTTTCCCTCCCAGTTGTGTGCGGCACCAGCGGGTCCTCGTAGGCCTTCTGAGCCTGGTTCTCGGAGGCCTTGGACTCCGCCATGAGCACCTGAGGGAGGCGTGGCCGTAACCCTCCCCCCACCCGCCCGCCCCACCGACGATTTTCGGAGACTGACGAAGACGAAGAGGTGCAATCCAAACGAAGCGAAACGGAAGGCTACTCCTCGCACCTCCAGGCTTAGGTCGGGCCTGTCCCCCTACGGGCGGATTTTGGACTAAAAATTAGAATTAGGCAGAAAAAGACGCTAGCAATAATCAAACGTAGTCAACAAATGGTCCCCTGAATATTTTTGGTTTATTTTTGAATATTCCTCCTGTAGAGGGACAGGCCCAACTTAAGCACAATCCAAACGAAACAAAACGGAATGCTACTCCTCGTACCTCCAGACGCTACCTGCGCTTCCTGGTTCTCCGAGAAGCTTCTGAATCTGACGACCTACCAGACCACTCCAACCCAACCCGTAGACCCAAATTTCGGGTTGGGGACAACCAAACCCGAATGCCCAAATTTCGGGCTGGGGGGTAAGGGTTACATGTGTGTGTGTGTGTGTGTGTTTTGTCCCGATGCTCCCCGACAGTCTCCCCCCAAAGGGAATGGAAGGCAAATTGCGGCCTGCGGGTTGGGCTTTGGGTGGGGTGGAGGGTGGTGACAATCATACCAGCTCCACCAGAGCAGGAGAGCCCAGAATCGAATCGATAAGTCGGATCTGCAATCGAAATGAATCGGATCGGCGGAAATTGGCAGCCGAGTCGGGAAATGTCGAATCGGCGGAAATCGGCAGGCTGATAATGCCTCCGTTGAGCAATCGGAGCCCACATCGGAACCCGAAGCCGAACCGCATCGGCGCTGGCAGCAATCGAAGCCGAGTCGGATCGGTTTGGAGGAATCGAAACGAGTCCTGTCGCAGCCCCAGAAGTGCCTGCTCCGCTTGAGCAGGGACCGACCGTCCTGGCATTCCTATAGTCCTACCACGAAATGTTCTTAGAACGCAAACATGTTCGAAGAACAAAAATCATGTTCTTAGAGCATAAACCCGATGTGTTAAATCAAGACAGACTCCGCCAGAAATGTTCTAAGAACATTTCGTGGAAACCACAAAAGGTTCTTAGAATTGTTTGGTAGGGCTATAGGCGAGCCAGGACGCTTCGCCACTGCTTGATCCGCTGCCTTCCTCTGCCACGCGAGGGCCCCCCCCGGTCGCTGCACCGAGCGGCGCTCCCCCCATTCGGCCCGTGCATAAGGGAACAAAAAGTGGCATAAACATAAACTCGGAGGTCCGCGCGAATTTCTCGGATCGGCGCTGGACCCCTGGAGGGGCGGCGCTGGAGGCGCCGCCGGGGGGCCCCAGCGCCGATCCGAGAAATCCGCGCGGACCTCCGAATTTTTACGTTTATGTCACGTGTTATTCCCCTACGAGCGGCGCTCCCCCCGACCGGCCCGTGCACGCTCGTCCGCCTGCCGGCGCGTCTCGTGAGGGGAGCTCCGGGCATCGTCTGCTGCCTGCACCCGGCAGGAGCCGGAGAGGAGTGCGCCCGACCGCCTCACGCCTTCCTCCTCCTCCTCCTCCTCCTCCTCCTCTCCTCCTCCTCCTCCTCCTCCTCCTCTCCTCCTCCTCCTCCTCCTCCTCCTCCATCTCCTCCTCCTCCTCCTCTTCCTCCATCTCCTCATCCTCCTCCTCCTCCTCCTCCATATCCTCCGTCTCCTCCTCCTCCTCCTCCTCCCTCCTCCTCCTCCTCCTCCTCCTCCGCTTGCTCGCTGGCTTACTGTCTCTTTCTCTCTTCCTCTCTCTCGCTCTCTCTCTCTCTCTCTCTCCCTCGTAAAGTGTGTGTCTCTCCTTGTCTTACGTGTGTGTGTGTGTGTGTGTGTGTGCGTGTGTGTGTGTGTGTGCTCCCCCGCACTCAACGAAGCTGCCGGATGAGCAAGTACTCGGTCCGTCTCTCTCTCTCTCTCTCTCTCTTTCTGTCTCTTTCTCTCTCATCTCTCAAGCGTCTCTCTTTCTCTTATGTGTGTGTCCCTGCATTCAACGAAACTGCTGGACGAGCCAGTACTGCTGGACGAGCCAGTACTGCGGTTATTCGCCCCAGCCGCGGGCGCTCAAAGTGCGTGTGTGTGTATATGTGTGTGTGCGTGTGTGCGTGCGTGCGTGCGCGCGTGCGTGCGTGCGTGCGTGCGTACGTACGGTCTGTCATCCTCATACTCTCGTATGCTGCCGGGCCCGCTGCAGGAGGAGGAGGAGGAGGAGGAGGAGGAGGAGGAGGAGAAGGAGGAGGAGGAGGAGTGTGGAGAGGAGGAAGAAGAGGAGGAGGAGAAATAGGAGGAGGAGGAGGAGGAGGAGGAGGAGGGAGAGGAGGAGGATGAGGAAAGGAGGAGGAGGAGGAGGGGGAGGAGGAGGAGGAAGGATGCACTGGGTGCCCAGGTCAACGAGATCCAGCCGCCCTCGTGCTGACCGATCTCATGAGGCTTCTCCTGCTACGGTCGGGGACTTTGGCAATGTGTCGCGGCTGTGGCCACGGCGACACGCTATGCCCTGCAAGCGGATAGCGCGTCGCTCCGCTTTGCGGGGCGGGAGGCTGGGGAACGCTCAGGACGTTGACGCTTGGAGATGGAGACGTGGCTAGCGTCTCGCGCAGAAGCGTGGTGGGCCAGAATCGGCAGAGCGATACGCTAAACTATGCTAAACTTAGGTCGGGCATGTCCCCCTACAGGCGGGTTTGGGAGAAAACTTGGTATATCGTCAAACACATTCAAGCATGATCTGAAATCGTCGAAAAATCGTCACAAAACTATCTTTGTTTACTATTTTTGAAAATTCCTCCTGCAGAGGGACGTGCCCGACTTAAGGCTAGCGACTCTCGCGTACAAGCGTGGTGGGCCAGAATCGGCAGAGCGACACGCTAAACAACAAGTCCTGACCGTACTTCCAGCCCGGCGGACTCAGGGCTCCTCCTCCTCCTGCCCCTTCTGTGGCAACTCATGGGAGCCTCGCATGCCATCTTGCTGGCCCTTGCGAATCGACGCTCGTCGACGCCAGCCGACGCTGAATCGACGCTGCATCGGCGACAGGTCGACGCTCATCGACGTGATATCGGCGCTTTCTCATATATTACCACACGCTGGCGCACGCTACGATGCAATCTGGATTCGGAACTACACTTAGGTCGGGCCTGTCCCCCTACAGGGGGATTTTGGGCGAACAATAAAGCATACCCCATACATATTCAAAACGTGCTTAAAAGATAATCACAACAACGTCCCCAGACAATGCTTTGACTATGTTTGAATATCCCCCTGTGGAGGGACAGGCCCGAGTTAGAACTACACTCCGGTCGGAAGAAGCAGATCAAAATATGATGCAGGCAGGCGGATACAGCAGATTTGGCTCAGACCCTGCCAGGAGAGTACACAGAGCACAGCAAAAGCAGATCGGCTCTCGAAGCAGGAAGGCGCTTGAAGTATAGATTGGGATCTGGGGGGCCAGAGAGATAGACCTACTTGCAAAACGACCTGCGTGCACGAGGCTCCCAGGATTTGATAAGTGTCCCCTGGCGGCGCCCTCCGCCCCTCCTCCCTGAGCATCGTTTATCCGATCCCTATCCTCACTGGCGTGGCCTGGGCCCCACTGGCCGATGTACCCCCCTAGATGGGGATATAGGCCGTTCCCTTCGGGCTTCAAGGGATGTACCCCCCCAACTGGGGAGGTAACTTTGTGGGGGTCTCGAAGGGGATGGGGATGGGGGTTGGTTAATCCCAAAGGGTCTTCAATGAATCCCCGGGCAATAATGGGGGAAAAAGAAAAAAATCCGCCGGCTTATTGACGGATTGGGACCCCGACAATAGTTGGAAATTGATTATTCTCGTCGGCGGATGCACGAGAGGTCATGAGAAGTGCTCAAAAATCCCATCGCTCAACGCCTGGCGGCCTCCTCCTCCTCCTCCTCCTCCTCGTCCTCCTCCTCCAGGCGCGCCTTCGCCTCCGAGACCAGCTTCTCGAGCATCTGCATCACCTCCCGCGGAGGAGCGCCCCGAGGGCCGCTCGGCTGGGCGGCGCCGCACGCGCCGCAGTGTTGCCCCGGCGATGCTGCAGGAGCCCAGGGAGACGCACACGCGCACAAACGCACTCACGCACACACACACACACACAACACACAACACACAACACACAACACACAACACACAACACACAACACACAACACACAACACACACACAACACACACACACAACACACACACACACTTACTCACTCACTCACGCACACACAGACACGAATTCCAGGATCCCTCCATAGTTTTAGGTCGTGCCTGTCCCCCTACAGGGTGATTTTGGGTAAAAAATAAAACATACCCAAGTGCTAGAAACATCGCCCCCAGACAATGTTATTCTATTAATCTTACTATTGATGTTACCTCCTGTAGAGGGACGTGCCCGACTTAAGCATAGTTTCTGGATTCCCGTCTCCACCCCAACATCTCTCATCCTTTCCATTATTCTGACGAGATCCGGCGCTTATTCGTGTCTGTCCCTCCTGAGATGCCCGCGGCGCGGAAGAGCAGGAGCAAGTTGGATAGGGGAGGAGGACAAGTAATCTTGCATCTTCAGGGAACCTTGTCTGCCCCATCGGGACGCTATCAATGTCCACTCCGCGTCGAACCCACATCGAATCAGTGTCGAATCTGCGTCGGATACCGCGCCGGCTTCAAAAATGGACCGCCACTGACAGGACAGACACCGTCCCCCGAATATACCAACGTAAGACAAGGAGCTGGAGCCGATGGAGCAAGAGCAAGAGGAGGAGGAGGAGGAGGAGGAGGAGGAGGAGGAGGAGGAGAAGGAGGAGGAGAACAGCAGGGGGACGAGGCAGGAGGGCCTGGACGCAAAAAGAGGGGCGGGATGAGGGCGACGAAAAGCTGGAGCTGGAGAGGGGAACGTGACGAGAGGGCACTCGGAGGGGAAGCTGTCCTCGAGAGGATGCCTGGGAGGGCGAGCGCCGTCCATGCCTCGCCATCATCCTCGCCACGCCCACGTCCCCTTGCCCTTCCCCTGGGCCTTATCCTCCTCGTCGTTCCCCCTTTCGGAGGAGGGCCCGCCGAGACAACTTCGGCCCGCCCTAGCTCTTTCTCTTGTTGCTCGGGGTCTCCCGACAGCTCCTCGCCACGGCCGGGTCCGCCTTCAAGAATTTGTTAGCGTGCGCCAGGTTGCCTCCGATCCCCCCCCCCCCACCCCCATGTTCATCTGCCCCCCTAGAGCCCCTCCCCGTGGTTGATTTCTCTCGAGTATGTGCGTCACAGGACGCATGCGCGGCGGCCACTCCGCCAACGGCGCGGGTGGCGCTGGAGGGTGGGTCGTCTTCCCCTCCTCCTCCTCCTCCTTCTCCTCCTCCCCCTGCTCCTCCTCCTCCTCCTCCTCCTCCTCCTCCTCCTCATCCTCCTCCTTTTCCTATCTCCTCCTCCTCCTCCTCCTCCTCCTCCTCCTCCTCCTCCTCCTCCTCCTCCTCCTATCTCCTCCTATCTCCTCCTATCTCCTCCTATCTCCTCCTTCTCCTCCTATCTCCTCCTCCTCCTCCTCCTCCTCCTCTCCTCCCTCCTCCTCCTCCCTCCTACTACTACTACTACTTCCTCCTCCTATCTCCTCCTCCTCCTGCTCCTCCCGTTCCTCCTCCTCCTCCTCCTCCTCCTCCTCCTCCTCCTCCTCCTCCTCCTCCTCCTCCTCCTCCTCCTCCTCCTCCTCCTCCTCCTCCTCCTCCTCTTCCCCACCCTCCTGCAGGATGAGGGGGGGGCGGTGCAGGGCGTCGCCCCTGCGGCGCCAGAGCTCGGCTTGTACTCCATCTGCGCCACTGGCGCCACCGAGCCCGGCGCGGGGTCCTCGGTGCTGGTGTGGGTACTGGTTCGCCTCCCGTCCTTCCTCGCAGCCACCGCCGTCCTCCTCCTCTTCCTCCTCCTCTTCCTCTTCCTCCTCCTCCTCCTCCTCGTCCTCCTCCTCCATCTCGTCCTCCTCCTCCCCTCCTCCTCCTCCTCCTACTCCTCCTCCTCCTCCTCCTCCTCCTCCTCCTCCTCCTCATCATCATCATCATCATCATCATCATCATCATCATCATATCATCATCATCATCATCATCATCCCCATCCCCCTCCCCTCCCTCCTCCTCCTCCTCCCCTCCTCCTTCCTCCCCATCCCCCTCCTCCTCCCTCCTCCTCCTCCTCCTCCTTCTCCTCCTTCTCCTTCTCCTCCTCCTGCGACACAGATTGCCAACAACGGGGGGTCAGTGAGCCTGCCCCCTACCGCTGCACACAGCTCGGGATCAGATCACCTCCGAGCTCTCAGGAACACGAGGACCGAGCTGAACTGAAATCCAGCGGCCTCGAAAAAACAGTATCCTCTGGCCAAGGCCTCTGAGAACCCGCTTGCCCCAAGCCGAGGGGTGCCCACAGACCTGGCCCAGCTTCACAACGTGCTGGGTGCTCATGGCCCCACACTTTACACAAATGAAACCGCACGAAACATCGCCGCGCTCCTCGCTGACACACCTTCTCAGAGCGTGCCCCCCAGCGAGAACGACGCGACGGGGGGGGGCGCTCGGCGGTGGGGCGAGGGCGGCGGCGGCGGCGGCGGCGGCGGCGGCCAGCTCGCTGGCCTGGCGCCGCGCGGCGCGAGCCGCCCTCATCTGGGACGCCGTGAGGCGCTCGGCGTCGGTGGCCGCGAGGGGAGCATTCCTGCCTACCTGCCCACCCACCGCTCGCACGAGCCTCGGAAACTTCCGACACCGATCGCGAAGCTCGAAATCCACGCGCCCCTGACCCGTTATCTTCTTCGCCCAGTCGTCGGCAAAACGATTGCCCGCGAGAAGGCGTGGGTCGATGGAGCGGCGCTGCTCTGGGGTGGGGTGGGCCTTGACTTTGACAAACGTGACGGAGGCGGGCCCCGCCCCACCCCAGTCCGCCAGCTTTGCCCAGAGAAGCTCCCAGGTGTCAGCATGGGCAGAGAGCAGGGCACATCATGCCTCCCGCCCACGCTTAACAATGCCTGAGAAAACAATATCGCTGTCTGCATGGATGGTGACGGGTGGCACGGCAACTCTGAGTGTTCAAAACCGCCACCAGCTCAGCACGATCAATGCACTGAATCGGGCCTTCGACTCCGCCTCCGAAGACAACCGAAACTCGAAAATCGTCGAGCGCCCTCGGAGGAGGAGGATCAGGATGCATGGCAATGGCAGCCCAACCAGTGACAACAGCATTGGGCACATCGTGGTCATACATCGAGCCGTCAACGAACAAGTCCCCAGTGAGCGAGCTGCGCTCACCAAGGTAGAACTGCTCTGGCGCGGCCTCTGGCCGCTGCGGGAACCTGTCGAAAGGAAGAAGCACGCGGCTGCCAAGCAACTGCACGAGCTCCGTGGGTTCCTGCGGCAGGGCACGACGGAGAGGGCCTGTGGGCTGCAAACTGGCAGAGACCAACCCGTCACACAACAGATGGCGATGATACAACGCGCCAGGAAAATTATGACAGATACGGCAGAGCGGGGACTGCACATATTTAGCCTCGAACATGCGCTGCTGCGTCCACTGGGCACCGATGACGACAGAACGAAGATAGGCCTTTTCATCGGGCGACAGCGGCGAAGAGCGACCAAGCAGACCGAGGACTGGCTCGAGCAAGATGCCTGACTTGAGCTCGGGGCAGCCAAGCGTAGTGCTGATCTGCGTCCACTGCCAGGCCTCACAGGCCAAGTCAATGAGCTTCCTTAGACCATGGTCACAAAATGTGGCCGGCTGTATAGTGAGGCCCCAGGGGAAAGTCCAATAACTAAAACATTTAGCCTGAATTCCCAGACGATCGAGCGTGGCCAGGTAGGCCGTGAAGGGCCCAGCAACAGATTGCCACGGACTGCCTTTGCTGGATCGGGCTCACTGCTGGGCCTGCCGAATTCCTTGAGTTATTATGTGCTGGGGGGCCCACTGCTGCTTCCACGCGGCCAACATGGCGCAAAGCGGGTCGGCGGAAGCCTTAAATATAGGGTCCACCCGACTGCCAGGGGTGAGCAAGAGACGGAGCGTGAGGGAAGCGGAGCTGGTGGGACCCTGACTGCCTACCAACTGCCTAAGCCTCTGGAGCTCTTGCCCATTGGTCCCAGTGATGCTAGTGCCATAAGAGACGCTGGTTTCCACGGTGGCTTTGACCATGCGAGCGACGAGTCGGCGACGTTTAGCTTTTTGCAAAATCTTTAGGCGCCTCGAGCGGACGACGGCAGCAGCCAAGCGCTCTCGCTTAGTGGTGCGATCCAACCTCCGCCCAGACCCAAAGTCAACCCCCAAGTTCCTCTCAGAGCGAGAGCGCTGCCCTCCCAGGCATTTAAGGCTGGCCTCTAAAGACGTCCTGAGAGGGGCTACACTACTCATGAAGCGCGTCTTATCTTTCGCCACCAACAAGTCAACTTTTTTCCAACTGACGAGCTAACTCGCAGCCTGCTGCAGTGAGATCTGCACGGACGCGCTCCTCTGCACCGAAACGCTGCAGACCTATATCATCGACAACTGTAGAGAGCGAAACTGCACGAGCAACTTTGCGCACCTCATCTAAGGGCTGTAGCAAGACGAGCTGCAACATCATCGTTGCGAACACGCAACCTGGCAGGACACTCTGTTCTGAAAATATGGGCTCCGACACAAAAATGCCCGTATCTAAAATCCGCGGCTGGCGATACAACTTGCTAAGGAGGTATAGTAGTCTCATTGGGAACCCTGTGCGCTCTGCGGCGGCCACAAGGTGGTGGTGCCAAATGAGCTCAAAAGCCTTTTTGAAGTCCACCAACACCGTCCCAGACGCCATCCCTTGGCCATGAGCCCACTCGGCCCACGCGGCCTGCGCCCAGACGCACTTATCTGCGGCCCTGCCGCGGGTCCCCCAAGACAAACTTCTAAAGTTTCTTCTCTGCCAATCCTGGATCTCAGACTTCCGTAAGCGACACAAGACCCTCGCGAGCACAGGCAAGAGAGCAATCGGCCGAAAACCACCCAGACGTTTGGCCAAGAAGAAAACCTTGACCCACGCAGTGGGCCAGTCGGGCCTCAGCTCAATCAAATGCAAAAGCTCACAAAGCGCGTCCAGGCCCTCGAGGCCTAGGTGCAAACAAGTGCCGCGGGTTTACACAATCATAACCTTGGCCCGTGGCGGGCTTGTAGCTTCTGAGGACTGCTAGCAGCTCAGGGACAGTAGGGTGAGGGGGGGGCTCGAGGAGGGAGAGATCTGGCCAGGAGAGCACAGGGTGGAACTCTGAGACGCACCACCATGTCTCCCATTCAACCCTGAGCTGCACAATTTGTTCGGCTGAGCCTAAGGGGACGCGATCGACCGCCATGTCGTCAGGCGTCCATCCTGTAGGCACCTTGGAGAAACTGAACAGAGCAGATGCGCCCTGCTCAGTGCTGTGCTTGTGAACCCAGTCCTCCCACCCCCGCTGCTTGGCTCGATGGCTGGCTCGAACAGCGAACTCAGCTTGCTGCTGCGCAAGCGTTTTGAATACTTGCAGGTGGGGTGCGGAGAGAGGGAGGCTATGGAGGACGAGCTTAGCAACATTGATCGCTAGCTGGCACTGGCGCGGCAACGAGACTGCTCGACAGTGGCGAGTGAGACGGCGCCTCCGAGTCACAGCATCCCAGCCGCCCTGCAGGTTGCCGTGGTCCAGCAGCGCATGTGCCAAGCCTCGCCACCAGGTAGCTTCAGCATTGATCTGCGGAAAGGGCACCGAACATGGCCTCGGAGGTCGAAGGGTCTTTAGACGAGGTGCCTCCCCACGGCCTCGATAGTACTCGGCCTGCCGAGGCTCCACATCAAACACATTCAACAAGTTAGCTTCCGCAGCCTCGATGAAAGCAGCCCAGGCTGTGTCAACCGTTACGTCGGGCTGTCGCATGTCGTCGCCAAGTTGCCCCCAGTTAGGCGCACCGTACCCCCTGCAGCAGCCAATGGGGGCGTGAGCTGGAAACTTGCGCGGCTGCTGAACGACGCGAACTTCTGGAGGCCGACGGGGAACCTGAAGCCGAACCTGAACTGCACGATGCGGACTGATCGCGATGTGCTCCAGAACGGTCAGCTGCGCTCCTGCCGCTAGGAAGGGCGACATCACGAAGTAGTCGATGACGCGCTCCGACGGCCTGACCGTGCCCAGCTTGGGGGCTACCACGACTCCACCAATGCCTGCCACCCAGCCACTCTCCATGAGCTCCTCAGGCGTGACTTGCCAGTCCGCACTGAGGATGAAAGGAAGCCCTGCACTCTTGACGGCCTGGCCCATGTCGCAGAGGATGTGCCAATTCCTCTCACTGAGGTCTTCAGAGTCGTGCAAGTACATGGTGCCAACAAGCAAGCCCCCGTTCGGACCGTGGCTCAGATGCAGCAGCGAAGCCCTGGCTGGGCACACGTAGTGCGGGAGGCCCTCCAGCTGGCTGAGCCCATAGCGAACAGGCGTGGCAATCAAGGTACCACCAGACAAGCCCGCCAGGCTGTCAGAGGCGCCACCAGCGGCACCAGCGCGGACGGCGGGGTTGATGGCTGCCTTCCAGCCTGTCTTGCGCAACGCCTGCTCCTGCGCGTCACGCTGATGCTGCGGCACCTTGTGCTCCTGCACAAGCGCCAAGTCACAATCATACCATTCATCGGATCGCCTGAGCAGCTCAAGCCCAGGCGTGCTCGTAACATTTGCCGTGGGAGCTGTCAACGGGCGGCACTGCGGGCTACCCCAACTGCGGTGGGACGTAGTAAGTGGTGCGCAGCTTCTTGCGGGCCTGACCGAGCAGTTCGATGGCGCGCTGCTTGATGGCCCGCTTGGCGCCCTCGTCGAGATCCATGTCATCCTCGCCGCCGACTGCGCTGGCACAGGCCTCGAGCAGCTTCTTCTCGTGTCGGGCTGCCCATGCACGGGCGCGCTCATCAGGGTCAGCGCCACCCACAGAAGCTGCAGGAGGGGGCGCAGGCTGCCCTGCGCCCGCTGCCCCTGCCGCCGCGAGGCCGCATCCCGAATGGAGGCCCGCGCTGGCGGCGCCAGGCTGGGCACCACCTGACGGGGCGGTGCCAGCAGGCGCAGCAGGGGGGGGGGGGGTGCTGGGCTTGCGCGGCCTTCGCCTGCAGCTCCTGCTGGGCGGTTGCCAGCTGCGCCGCCACCTCCGTGAGCTTGGCCTCGAGCTCGGCGTCGCCAAGCAGCCGCGCCTGCTGGAGCAGCCCGTCGCACTGACCAGGCGGCGTGCCAGGCGCGGCGGCGGCCGTGCCGCCCACTTGTGCAAGGGCCGCTGCCCCGCGCGCGGCAGCCTCCTTCTGCTGCTGCTGGAGCTCCTCGAGCTCAGCGCCAACCTCTGCAGCCCAGCGTACGGCACGGTGCAGGTTCTCCTGCGCCTTGTCGTACTGCTTTTGCACCTTGCCAAGCCGATCCGTGAGCACATCACTTTCCTTCTGCGCTGCCCTCGACACCAGCTGCGGATCGCCTGAGAGGAGGCCCCGCTGGTGCTGGATGCGATCCCGCGCCGACTGGCTGAGCGTGTCCGCCACGGCCTCATACGCGGCGGGGTCCATGGCGGCGTTGGCTCGGACCTGCGCATCGGTGAGGGGCGGAGGTCCTTTCGGCTTGGGCGCACGCACGGAGGGGGAGACGCCACCAGCCCAGACACCGCGGGGCTGGACCACGCGCTGACTTGGGCCGCCTTTCTCCTTGCCACAGCGGAGGCAGTGATCACGCCACTCGTAGTTGTACTTGAACTTACACTGTTTATTGGGACAACACCAACAAGACTGCTGCCAAAATGCCATCTCGCACCAGCGGAGGGTGCGACACACGCCGTAGGTACGCAAAGGCAGTGAGGGATAAAACCTCAATACAGTCTCGAGGTGTGGAGCAGGTGGGGCCGCGGATCCCCTTGCCAACAACTCTTGTCCTGAGCAAACCGCTACGGACTTGAGCCAACATGGCTACGGACCTCCTCCTCCTCCTCCTCCTCCTCCTCCTCCTCCTCCTCCTCCTCCTCCTCCTCCTCCTCCTCCTCCTCCTCCTCCTCCTCCTCCTCCTCCTTCATCTCTCCGTCGTCTCAGGCTTACCGTTTTCCCTTTGTCCGATTGCGTACAAGACGATCAAGTCTTTCGAGAATTCCCGTCCGCCATGACACGCGTCAGTGCATAGAAAGAGATCGTTGCAATGGGATGGGATGGGTGGGATGGTTGGGATATGGCGCGAGCCCAACTAGCTTGAAATTCGCCCCATGCTTCTCCTCCTCCTCCTCCTCCTCCTCCTCATCCTCTTCATCCTCCTCCCCTCCTCCTCCTTCCCCTCCTCCTCCCTCTTCCTTCACCCTCCTCCCCCCTCATGATCGGCCTCACTCATTGTCCTGCTCCCGCCTCCTACTCCTTTTCCTTCTCGAACCTCCTCCTGATCTCCATCCTCCTGCCTCTTGCCTCGCCGTCCTTTTCCTCGCCGTCCTGCTCCTCATCCTCGCTCGTTCTCGTCCTCGCGTTTCCCTTTCAAAGCTCCGACGTCATGATTTGTTCACAACGTGCATCCCCAAAACTCTCCACCCATTGACCGGGACACGTGTTTTTATCCATGATCGTTTTTGTTGACGGTCCCGGGGCCCGGCAAGGGCCCCGAGGTGCCGAACATCCCCCCCCAAACAAACACACCTCCCGCGGTGATTTGGGTCCGACGCGAAGGCCCTGGGATCTCTCCTCCTCTCCTCCCGCTTCGGAATGGCATCGGAATGACCTTCACAAGTCTCAAATGTGAAACAGGGACGGATAAGAAGCCGTCCAAGGTAATATAACGACAGAAAAGGTCTCGCCTGCCCGTCTGATCCGAGGCGAAGCCGTCGAAAGGCGGGCGGAGCACGCTGGGCCTCCTCCTCCTCCTCAGCTGCCCCCCTCTCCCCCACCTCACTCCTCATGGCGTTCTGCCTCCGCCGCCCTCCTCCTCCTCCTCCTCCTCCTCCTACTACTACTACTACTCCTCCTCCTCCTACTCCTCCTCCCCTTCCTCACTCTGCATGACGTTCTGCCTCCGCCGCCCTCCTCCTCCTCTCCTCTTCCTCTTCCTCCTCCTCCTCCTCCTCCTCCTTCCTCCTCCTCCTCCTCCTCCTCCTCCTCCCCTCCTCCTCTTCCTCCACCTCCTCCTCCTCCTCCTCCTCTTCCCTCCTCCTCCTTCTCATCCTCCTCCTTCTCCTCTCCTGCTCTCCTCCTACCTCTCCCCCGCCCTTTCCTCCTCCTCCTCCTTCTCCTCCTCCTCCTCATCCTCCTCCTCCTCCTCCAAGTGTTCCTCCTCCTCCTCCTCCTCCTCCTCCTCCTCCTCCTCCTGCTGCTCCTCCGCCCCCCGGGCGGCGTGCGCGCCAGGTCCTCGCCGCTCCGGCGGCGCTGGAGCAGCGACTCGCCCTGTGCATTTGGGCGGCGCGGCCGCGGACCCAGGCGGAGGGGGGCAGGGCGGCCCCACGGGGGGGTAAGGTTGATGATGATGCTGATGATGCTGTTGATGGTGATGCTGATGATGCTGATGATGATGACGACGAGGAGGGGGGGCCCAAACTCGGACGTTGCATAGCAAGCAACTCCTGGGAGGTCATCGGAGGGATGTCTCAGGGCTGTTGAAACCGCTTGCACATGATTGCAGGAGCCAAATAACTGGAGAAACCTGGACCGAGCCAGATTGAACGGGATCTGGGCGGGAATGAACGTGATTCGGCCACATTGACCGGGCCTGCGACCATGGATATGCCACCGCAAATGCTGAATCGTGACATGTTTTGTTTCCTTAGGTACCCGGGAGGGGGGTCGGGCGGGAGGGTAACGGTAACTGTGGCCGCGGCGTGCAACCGCCAGGGTGCGGCCGCGCCGCGGGCGCATCAATCGCCTGTGTGCACCACAGCATGGCGGAGGGAAGCCCAGGCCCCCTCTGGACTTCGTAAGCGGGTGCGTAGCCAAACGGGGGCTTACAGGCTGGCTATGCCCACGTCTACGCCCAGGGCTTGCTATGCCCACATCTACGGCGCCTAGGGCCCCCTAAACTGGGGCATAGCCAGACGTGGAGATCGGCGCTCCCCGTGCCCCCGTTTGCTGCGCCCCCGTCTCTGGCGCCCTGACGACCCCTGCACCCGAGTGTTACCCGGGTGTGTGTGGCCCGGGCAGCGAGCGTTACCCCCTGGGGAGGAAAACGTGCTCACGTGCTGACTCTAACCTCCCAGGAACTGCGTCCTGGCATGGGGGAGGAAAAAGAGGGGGGGCCAAGAACTCCGGCGCTGTGCTCCTGTCACTGCGTGGACTCTGGGAGGACCGGGCCCTGGTTCCCCAGTCCTGCGTCCCCCCGTCCCCCCCTGCGGGCCGCCCTTTTTTTGGACCGCCCCAGAGCCCGTCGAAGGGCCCCCCGGAGGGCGGAAGTGGCCAAAAACATCCCACCTGGATCCTCTCACAACGCGAGGAGGAGGAGGAGGAGGAGGAGGAGGAGGAGGAGGAGGAGGAAGAGGAGGAGGAGGAGGAGGAGGAGGAGGAGGAGGAGGAGGAGGAGGAGGAGGAAGAGGAGGAGGAGGAGGAGGAGGAGGAGGAGGAGGAGGAGGAGGAGGAGGAGGAGGAGGAGGAAGGGCAGGGGGGGGAGGGGGAGGAAGAGGAGCGGAGGGAGGAGGCGGCGGCAGGCTCTGGTGACCCACGGGGATAAGGACTGCATGCAGCATGCCGCTGGCCAGCTCACTGCACTGCGTCCTCCGCAGAAGTGAGAGGTCAAGTTGTCGTACTCCAAAGATGCAGTGGCCGTGCCGTATAGGCCCAATGGAGCGATCAGCGAAAGGTCCGTCACGACGAAAGGTCCGGCACGCAAAAAGCGAGGAGGATGAGGAGGAGGATGAGAATGAGGATGAGGAGGAGGCAGAGGAGGAGGCGGAGGAGGAGGAGGAAGAGGAGGAGGAGAGGAGGGGAAGGAAGGGAGGAGGAGGAGGATGAGAGAGAAGGATGAGGGAAGAGGAGGAGGAGGAGGAGGAGGAGGAGGAGGAGGAGGAGGAAGAGGAGGAGATGGAGGAGGAGGAGGAGGAGATGGAGAAGCGGCGGGGGCAACACGACGTGAGGAGGGAGGCGGATGAGAGGGGGGCAGTTGGGCGTGTGGGGGGGTAAACAAGGGGCCCCTTCCTCGAGCCGTGGCCGGCTCACGGCGGGGGCCAGCGCCCTGACCGCCGCATCCCGGGCCCGGCCGTCGCCAGGCTGGAGTTCAACTCCAGGAGTTGGGGTTGGGGTTCCCTTGCGGTCGCCAGGCTGGAGTTCAACTCTAGGAGTTGGGGTTGGGGTTGGGGAACCCCAACTCCAGGAGTTGGGGTTCCCTTGCGATTGTCTTTAGACTCTGGGAGGCGAGTCTAAGCCTGCGCACGTGAGGCGGGCGTGTGGGTTCGTTCGGCGTGCGTGAGAAGCGTACGCTGGCATCCTGCATGCGAACGCCTTCGAGCAAGCCTAGGCCACTCTTCGAGTGGTCGTTCTGGTCGTGGTCTGTCTGGGCACGGTCGCTTGGTGGGCATGCGCAGACGAGTGCAGAGGCGGTGCCTTTAAAAAGGACGAAGGGAAGCCTAAGGCTGAAGCGTCGGCCCCCGCCTGGCGGTGGGGCCCTGCAAGCGGCAGGGGCAGGCCTGCAGCTGGCCATCGCTCGGACGTCCATTCCCTGTGTTTTTGTGTTTTTTCGGTTTCGTGCGTGGTTTTTTCGTAAAATGATCAAGGATGGTCCTCGATGGTCCTCGCCGAAGGAAAAATGCACACGTCCGAGCGATGCCAGGTGCAGCTGGATCGACTCGTGTGAAGTCGGACCCGATCGCCATCGGATCGCCAGCGAGGCGAAGCGAAAGCGGGCCTCGCCGCGCCGGGGCTCCGCGCCGGCCCGGCCCGAGCCGGAGGACCGAGAGCCGAGGTGGATCGCACCGGAGATCGGCGGTGGACAGGCCTCCCTTCAATACAGTCGGGGGCTTGACCTAAGGAACCCAAAAGAAGGAACAAGGCCCCATTCTTCCATGAGTTAAACTTCGATTTCCGATCGAAAACATAAGGAAGACCTAAGGCAAGCTGCGGAACACTGAAGGAACGCGGAGCCCCTCCCCAACGAAAAGGGTTCCTTCTTCAGGGCCCCGACTGTACACCTCCCATCAGTGAAAACGGCCCAGGGCCGAAACCGACGGACCTGGACCCGCAAGAACGACGGGCCGCGGCGCCCTCTCGCGAGCCGAAGACGGCCAATCCCTGAATAGACGTGTCAAGGTACGAGGTCTCTATCATTTGGACGCCCGAAAAGGGTACGGACAAAAATGGGCACAAATGCCCAACAACAAGTGTTGTCCCACACCAGCAGCGGCCGCTGCTGGGCAGGCGGGCCTTCTGTCTCAAATGGACAAAGGCCGCGGCGGCGCGGACAGCGAGCCCTGCCCAACACGAACAGGAACCGCTGCTGGGCATCGTAACCCCATTCTTTCCGCACCCATGCCGGTCGTCCCGATATCAACCTCCGAGCCCAGACCCCCGACGTCATGATTTTTTCATGTCGTCGACCCCCAGAGGTCTCGACCCCTTCCCCGGGACCGGCTTTTCATCCCGAGTCGTTTTTTGACGGCCCCGAGGCCCGGCGAGGGCCCCCAGAGGCTGAAAATGACGAAAAACCTCCCGTCGTGATTTTTTCACCACCCGAGGGGGTCTGGGAGAGGATGTGGCCCCCGCCGCCCGCACTTCGCGCCGCACCTCGCGTCGGGCCGACGCCTCGCGCGGCCCCGACGCGGCCCCCCGGCCTCGCGGGGGCCCCGCCGCGCGCGGGGCGCGGGGCCCCCTCCTCGCCCGCCCGCGCGCCCGCCGCCGCCGCCCCCCGCCCCCCCCCCGCCCCGCGCCCCCCCCCCTCCAGAAGACAGCTCCTCCTCCCTCCTCCTCCTCCTCCTTCCTCCTCCTCCTCCTCTCCTCCTCCTTCTCCTCCTCCTCCTCCTCCTCCTCCTCCCCCCTCCTCCTCCTCCTCCTCCTCCTCCTCCTCCTCCTCCTCCTCTCCTCCTCCTCCTCCTCCTCCTCCTCCTCCTCCTCCTCCTCCTCCTCCTCCTCCTCCTCCCAGCGGGCTCGAGGAGGGCCCGGCCTCTGGGGGGGAGGAGGGGGACATCGCCCAGGAGGGATCCTGCCACCGCGCTCGCCCCTGGGGGGGCTCGTAGTTCAAGTCCGCCCGAGGCTTTCCAGTGACTTCGCGGCCGCTCTCTCGCTTCAGAAACTTATCAATTCAGAAAGCTGGGCCAACTGTTCAGAAGGTTCTCGAGGAAGCGCTGGGCCAGCTTCTGGAGCCAGGACTCCACGCTGGCCACTTCTGGGATCCAAGGCTATCACCCCCCTTGAGAAACCAAGCCAGCTTTGCGGCAAGTTGGTTTTAAGAAACGCTGGGCCAGCTTTTCGGGGGGAGGTTTCTTGATCATCACCGGGACCGTAATCCTTGGGGGGGCATTGCGGCCCAAACCCGCGACTCGATGGGTCCGTCCCAGCTCGGGGATCCGCGATCGGTGGGGGGGGGGAGGGGGGGGGCTGCCCGATCATCGAGCAGGGTGCGTCCGCATCGCCCCCCCCGTGGGGTGCAGCCCGGAGTCGCCCGCGTGTTCTCGGCGGCCAATCCTTCAGGGGGGGCGGGATGCCCGGGCCCCTGCGGGGGAACCGAACGGCACCGCTGCCGCCACTCCCGGGACCTCTCCCGGGCCGCGTCCTGGCCAGGACTCCGAGACGGCTCCAGCGGTGGCGACGAGGGAGGCCCAGGAGGCCCAGAGAGGGGAAAACGAGGCGAGGGTAGAGTGAAGGGGCCCAAGGACACACAAATGAATACACACACAAAGCAGGATTCCACGTATTTTTTCATACTTGTTGGATTTTCGTATTCCCCCCCACTGCCCATCCTTTCCCCATAGGTTCCTGGGGATCGGCGATTCATTGTGTCTGTGTGTTTCTTCCCCTCCTGATAGAGGTATGGGTACCTCTTCCTCCTCCAGATTCCTCTTCGGCGGGGCGGGGTGCTCGGGCACTTTGGGGGCGAGGCATCGCCTGCGATCCCAGCCCAGGGCACCGAAGCTCGCAGCGCGGCCGTCTGCGCGCCCCCAACGGAGGTGTCCCGACGTGCGTCCGCCACCTCCTTACTGCTGGGCCGGGCATGTCCTCCTGCGCGCGGATGTCGGAAGGAAGCCGAAATTCAGAGTCAGAGATATGGAAAAAGTAAGCAAAAGTATGCAACACATCGTCCCCAGACTACTTTTGAGTCTGCCTCCGGGAGGGGGACATGCCCGAGCGGCGACACGGCCGCCCACCGCCGCGCTCGCCGGCGGAGCCGCAGCCGCACCCCCCTCGGGCGGCGGGCGCGCCCGCCACCCGTGCAGGGGCCCAGGGACACACACACAGATGCACAGACGCTGCTCCCAGGATGCCCCCCTTATCTTGCCATGCTACCAAGGTCTTCGTTTCCCCCCCCCCCTCCTCCTTGCACGCCCGAAATGGGTACGGACAAAAATGGGCACCATGCCCAACAACAAATGTTGTCCCACACCAACAGCGGCCGCTGTTGGGCAGGCGGTGCTTTGGGGTTCGAAGATATTTCTGTCCACTCACGCCCACCCCGTCGCCACGCCATCAATATCAATCTCGGGGGGGTCTGGGGGGCATCGAGGAAGGAGGAGGAGGAGGAGGAGGAGGAGGAGGAGGAGGAGGAGGGGAGGAGGAGGAGGAGGAGGGGAGGAGGAGGGAGGGGAGGAGGGGGGTCTGGGGGGCAGCCTGGGCCTCAGGCTTCGAGCACAGTGTCCACGTGCTGCCCGTGGGGGGGGGGCGCGCCGGCTCTGCCCCTCCCCGGGGCCCCGGGGGCCGCCCGGCCCGACGGCTCGCGCGCGCGCGCCGCTCGCACCCGGGGGGCCGCGCGGGGAGAGGCCCCGCGCCCGCCGCCTCCGGCATGTTCTCCCGGGGGATCGGCGGATGCACTCGTGGACGCCATGGCAAGGAGCACCCTCACGATGCGATCACCGACGCAAAGATGTGCTTATAAGACGTGTCAAAGACATGTTCGAATTGACGGGCGAAGAACGGGATAACATAAACTTTTTCGCTGTCAGGGGCGCCTGTCCCAGGGCGGCTGGAAAGCTGATACCCTTACGGCGGCACCGTAGGGGTCTAAACTTTCCAGCCGCCCAGGGACAGGCGCCCCCGACAGCGAAAATATTGTTATTTTATACCTTTCTTCGCTCGCTGATCTAAACCTGTCTGACACAGGTTCCAGGCATCTGGAATTTTTTTGGCAGCACGCTTCCTCTCCACTCATCGCCTTCCACATCGACGCATTGTGTGTGCCTGTGCGTTTTTCTCCCCTCCTGGCAGCGGGAGAGGGGCGGAGGCCGACGCTGCACGACGCGCAGGGTGCAGGGCCTGCACGCGCCGAAAGGCGAAGCCACCGGCCAGAGGAGTCCACGCCGTCGCGGCACACCCGCCGGCGGGGACGCCCAGCTGCACGCGGCGCCCGGCCATCGCCGCGCCCCGGAGATCTGCCCCAGCGGTCCACGGGCTCACGGCCCCATCGGCGGGGCGAACTCGCTCCCGTCCGCCGGGAAGGCCTCGGGGCAGCAGGGGCAGATCGAGGAGCGGCAGGCCTCCCCGTGGACGCCGTACCTGTCCACGTCGCGGCGGCGCGCCCCGGGGGGTGGCCGAGGCGGAGGAGGCGGGCCCTTCTCGGAAGGCTCAGGAAGGCCGCCGGCCTGCGGAACAGCGTCCCGAGCCTGCTCCGGAGGGCAATGGGGGGGCGAACTCGACAACGCTTCGAGGCGAGGCGAAACTCAACGGCAAAACCCGACAGCTGAAAAGGTGCGAAACCCCAAAATCTCCCCACAGGCGAAGCCCGAAAGTCTCCCCGCAGGCGGAGCCCGAAACTCCGAGCGCACTCAAGCCCGAAAATCCGAGAGGGGCCAAGCCCGACACTCCAGCTCAGAGCAGCCCCACCTCGCCCCTCCTCGTTCGTCCTTCCGCCCCCCTCCTTTCCCCATCCTCGTTCGTCCTCTGTCTCTCCTCCTCGCTCCTCCTCGTCCGCCTCGTCCTCCTTTTGATCCTCACACCTCCCCCTCATCCCTACTCCCTTCTTTTTCTCCTTCAAGAGAACTTCTTCCTGTCGCATTCTGGGGCCGGTCGAAAGAGCGGGCCGGGCGTTTCGCCTGAGACGTCCTCACAACCTGAGATATTGAAGCTTAAGAAATGGCAGCAGTTTCACACTCGGAGCGAGGATGGTTTTCAACATCAGGCTCTCGCCTTTAGCGCCGCGCACGTTTGAACATTTGCAAGAGTTTGACGGATTAAGGGCGGGTGCCTTTGAAAATGTGGCTCTCGCCGTAGCGCAACGCACAATCGTTTTGAACATTTACTAGAGCTTCACGGATTGAGGACGGGTGGTTTCAAAAAATGGCTCTCGCCTTAACGCCGCGCACATTCATTCAAACATGTTGCAAGAACTTCAGGGATTGAGGGCGGGTGGTTTTCAAAAAGTGTCTCTCGCCTTTTACCGCGCGAAAGCGTTTTAAAATCTGCCAGAGGTTTGCAGGTTGAAGGCGGGTCGTTTTCAAAACGTGGCTCTCGCCCCAGCGCCGCGCACATTCGCTGTGTAATCTGCAATTTCACGGACTGAGGTCGGCTTGTTTTCCAAATGTTGCTTTCGCCCCAGCGCCGCGCACATTCGCTTCGAACACGTGCAATAAGTTCACATATTAGCGTTGTTCGTTTTCAAGAAGTGGCTCTCGCCTTAGCGCTGCGCTCATTCTTGTTTTAAGGAAAAACAGAACTTACATTGATTATCGTGCTTAATGGATCGGAAATGATGTGTTGGATCGAGTCAAGATTGTCAGGTCGCAACAGTTAAGCTGATTCGCGGTGTTGCGAGCCCAGGAGTGGTGTTCTGGCACGATTCAGGATCGCCAAGACGTGCCAGTCAGGTTCACTCGTGGCGTTGGGGTCCTGGGAATAACGTGTTTGGTGCGCTTCAGGACTTTCGCACGGCTGTCCCCCTAAGGGGCAGATCCCGCAGTGAAAATAAACCCCTGTTGGGAGCTATGAAGAGAGAGCGTGAAGGGACGGTGTATTCCAAAATCGTTGATGGGTCTTTGGTTTACACTGGTCCTCCTCTTCCTCCCATTCCTTGCTCGTCCTCCCACGCCTCCTACCATCCTCTCCTCCCTCCTCCCTCCTCCTCCTGCCTTTTGCCTCCTCTCCTTTCTCCTCCCTCCTCCCTCCACCCTCCTCCGACTGTCTCTCGCGCCTCACAGTCAGGCGGCATTGCCGGACGGGGCACAGATTTCGCTACGCTCGCGGTCCTAGCGCACCAAGCCTACGCAAATAGCCTGCGCATTTCTTCAGCGTACATATTTATAGACGCTGTCTCAGCCTTTTACAGGGCCCTCCGACAGCTCATATTTTACTGCGACTCGCAACAAGCCGACCTCTACTACTTAGTTGCTTCCCTTGATCTCCCTCAGGAGACAGGTGAAGAACTAATAAGACATTTGCTCTCTGCCCCTCCTATTCTGCAGGAGGCTGGTCTCCCTCCGCATCTCCATGCTCAAATCTCGGCTGCATACGAGCATACCTGGGCCTTTTACCCGGGAGCCTCGGGGGTTGCACTCACATTACGTGGCACCATCCCAGGACAGCAGCTCGGAGATGTTCTTTTCAACTTCCTCATGGCCCGAGCCAACAACGAAGCTGTCAAGCAGCTCACCGAATCACCGCTTGCACACCTTATTCTCAATGTCCAGGTGAACAAGGATGCCCCGCGCTCTTTTTTCGCTCATCACAAGGACAATATTGCCTCCGCAGAGACAGAAGTGCACCAATATCTGGACTCATGCTTTTTCGATGATGGTGCATATGCCTTCCTTGGTCCCACTATGGAGCTATTTGACGCCATGCCCGCGCTAATGGCCACCATAGTAGAAGCCTACGCGCTCTCAGGCATCAAGCTAAATTTTCAAGTCAACAAAACCAGGTGCCTTTTTCAGTTTAGAGGGGAAGCTTCCATATCCCTTCGCCGCAAGCTCTGGGACCCCCAAGGGCTCAATGGGCACATGCTAGTCTCACCTGCTCTAGGGCACTTGCCTTTTTCCCTCCACTTCGCCAGAATATACACATATCTAGGTACGCACCTGGACGAAAAGGGCAGTATAGGCCCCGAGCTCGCCCACAGGCGATCGGAGGCGGCCCCCAGCTGGCGTAATCTAGCCAGGCAATTCTTGCGCCACTCTTCCAGTACCTGGCTTCATGAGCACCTGCATTTACTGGACTCCCTCATCCTCTCTTCCCGCCTTTTTAATGCCGCTGTTTGGCCATTGCTCACTGGACCGCAAATAGTCTCCTTACAAGGAGAGCTCATGAGAATGTACAGGCGCTTGCTCCACCTCCCAAGGTGCGACAGCACGGCAGAGCGAGACTCATTTATCCTGGCCAAGGTCTGCAGACCCCCTCTACCGCATATCTTTAGTGCAATGCGTCTGCGCCTCTTTGGCAGGCTCCTCCGCACGGGACCTCCGCACCTCACCTCCCTGCTGGCCAAACTAGCCGCAGACGTCCCAGACTCGTGGCTTGCCCTGGTGCAGAAGGACCTACAGTGGCTGGGCGAATTTTCTGCCAATCTAGAACAAATGCCCTCGCCAGTGTCGCACCTGGACCAGTGGGAGGCCCTAGCTCTCCAATCCCACACAGGATGGAAGCGCCGAATTCGCAATGCCCTTACAGCGGGAGCACAGCATTTCGCTCGCGCAGCACTCGCCGAGGCAGCTGCCAAGCACTTTTTTACCATTACCGTCCCATGTGGGATCCCCCTGCCGACGGACCATGTACAGCACCCGATCGAGCAGCAACGTATGGCAGCGCACTACCCAACGGTGCTCACTTGTCCATGGTGCGCGCGCACATTTTTAAAATTTCGAGGGCTAAAGCAACACGTTGCCCAGGCGCATTGGACCTTGTCCCACAGGGTCAAGGGCCTAGTACCGGACACCCAGGTGTGCCCGGCCTGCAGCCTCCCCTTTGGCTCACGCGCCAGTCTCATGCAGCACCTCTGTTTCGACTCCTTCATATGTGCTCTCTACCTCCTCTGCCATTCCCAACGCCTTCCTCAAGAGCAAATCACAGCGCTTGCTATGCAACGCTGCGAAAATGCCAAGCTACAAGTAAAGTCAGGCGTAGGTCGCTGGCGTGTGGCACTACCGGCACATCGTGCCAAGCGTGCTACCACACAACACTTTCGTGACTTTGCCAAACACTTGTCTCAAGCGGACGCGCGCGCCATAATGGCGGCTACAGATTACGCGCTGGACTCTGCAGCTGTCTCTCTACTTTTTCCCGCCGATGTCCCTCCGCCACTACCTCCTCCTCTCCCTGCGCTGCCTGAATGGCCATTCCAACCAGAGGAGTATTCTGGTCTAGCGACCAGAGAAATTCCAGCCCGCATAAGGCGCAAGGAAATTTTCATCCTCAATCTTTTCTCTGGCCGCAGGCGCGAAGGGGATATCCAGCATCACCTGGAATCAGTTACGCCTGATCCCTCCATAGAGGTACATATACTGTCTTGATTATGCTATCGACCCCGACTTGGGCGATCTCACCAAGTCGGAGACCATTAAGCTCTGGCAACAACATATTTATGCCGGCAGAGTGGTTGTTTCGGGTGGGGGCCCGCCGTGCGAAACCTTTTGCGCGGCCCGATGGAAGCCCAACGGGCCGCCGCCGCTGCGCACTACCGAGCACTACTGGGGCATCCCCAACGCAACTCCCAAGCAATCCCGCCAATTGCAGATTGCCAACTTGCTACTCGCCTCATTGGTTCTCCTTTTTGCCGCTCATTTGGAAATGGGTACCTCGGCATGGATGGAACATCCATGCCCTGCCCACTGGGAACCCAGGGCGCAGCCTAGCTGGATTTGGAGACCTTTAATGGCCTTGGCTGCTGCTCCGGCTGTCCGCACCACGGACATCGACCAGTGCATGTTCCAGCCGTCTTGCCGACCTCCTAACGGATTCGGCAAAGCCCCCACGCGCTTGCTATCGCTACGCCTTCCCTCGCTCCCAGAGCTCCTAAATAATCGTCCCCAAGGGGCCAAGTGCACGCACCCACGGGGGTCACATCGTACACTTCTAGGTAAGGACGAGAATGACCGCTTTTTCACTGCTGACAAAAAGACCTATCCTTCTGCCCTTTGCGAATGTCTCGCCCAGGCTATATATCAGGACGTCATTTTACCATTGGTTGACGACCCACAGGATCCTCTTCCCCAGTCGGACCCCTCGGTTCTGGCTCCCCTCCTCCGCTTCTCCGCTTCCATGACCAGCGACTTTTGGCTAGGCCCCGACTTTGTTGATTCCTCCGCCCCTCGCACCCGTGCCAAAGTAGATGGGGAGCTGGATCGCTTCCGCAGGCTTTTGGCTCTCTCCAGGCCCCGCGAGCCGCGGCGCCATAGCGACCTCCCCGCAGAGGCTCACCAGCAGCCTGATCCCGCAGATCAGGACTCGGAAGCGGAACAAGAGGCCATGCACTTTTTGGGCACAGCCCCCATTTTTCCCTCCACCCTCCCTCCGCCGCCACCCCCGCCCTCCCTAACTCTGGATCAGAAAAGGCGTATCCAGTGCAATAG